CCTCCTGCTGCCCCCCTCCTGCTGCTCCCCTCGTGTTTCGGCTCCCTTTCCCACCTTTTTCCCTCCGTCGCTTCCTGGTCGTCGTCCCCTCTTGTCGTATTCCCCTCACCTGCATCCTTCCTCCGCGTCTCGCCCTTTCGACTCGTTCGATGTGCATGTGCCTGCCAGCCGTTTCTTCATATCGCCATCATCGTGAAAGTCTTATGTTCAAATCATGTTCTACGTGTTATATAGGCTAACCATGTGAGACCGAGTATGACCGGCGCCCATTACCATTAATTGGAACAGGGGGATTAACGGGAATTATCGGGAACGTCGTCAAGGGAACAAGGGAATTAACGGGATAAAAGGACATTATCGGGAAAAATATCCAGGAAATTCTCGGGAAAGAAAGTTAACCGACATGAATTGCAACAGTTCGGGCGGGCTCAATGCGTGTGCACAACCAGCATGCCTGTCAGGGCACGCCCTGGGCCCCAGGATGGTGATGGGTCCTCCCGGCGTCGGCCGAGAAGGCGCATGCCGTATACCATGTCAGGGCCCAGAGGCCATCCTGCGCATTTAGGCCCCAGGACGGCCCTTGCCAGGCATGGTGGTGGTGCTGGTGGTACAGGGTGCCTTCTGCGCATGGCTGGCGACGCGCACGAGGCAGGATGGCGTCAACAATAGCTAGTATCCATGCCGATGCCGTCCAGGCAGATCCTGGACAGGATCGGTGAATATACGGTCAGGAACGTTTGCTTAGCGTTTCGCGCCGCCTGTTGTGGTCCTCTACGTTTCGACGCGACACGCTAATCACGCAGTCCCCACGCAGCAATTCTCCGAGCTTTTCCCAACCCTCCGCCCCGCGAAGCAGCGCAACACGCTGTCACTCCGCGAGGCACGGCGTATCGCAGGGGCCGCCGCATCGCGACGCGCTGAGCAGAGGCCCCTGACCGTACACCCAGGGCCGAGGGGTCCGTCCCCCGCGCCCCCAGCGAGTGGATGCGCTTCAGGGCTCCCGTCCTCTCTCCCTCGGACGGGGCGGGGCGGGGCGGTGGGGGCGGATGCACGCGCCGAGGAGCCCGCGAGCGGTGGGGGGGGCCGCCTGCGGCGCGGGGGGCTTCTCGGCCTCCGCGCGAGGGCGCGAGGATGCTGATACGCGGGACGAGGCCAAAGATCGGCCACGCGCAGAGAGGGGCAGGGGAGGGGGGCGGGGTTGCTGGAAAGCGCCCCTGCTTCTTGGAAGGCGCGGGCCTTCCGAGAAGCAGCCTCCTTCGAGAAAGCCTTCCCGCCTCCCGCTATCCCCCCCCGTGCGCGCCGGCACAAAGGCGCGAGGGATGGCGGAGAGGATCGGGGCTCCTGCCGAGGGGGTCGGCCAATCGCCGCTGGCCGACCCAGGTTCGGGGATCCGGGTGGGGGCCGATTCCCCCTCTGTTGGTCGTCCGCTGCCCTGGGTTCGGGAGCTACCAGGCGGCCGGCCTGGCTTCGCGACGCTGACACGGGTTAGTGCGTCCCCGAGAAGATCGGGGGCGGAAAAGAGGGGGGTGATGACTAGGGGGGGGGTGGATATCATGGCGGGGGCCATGATATTTTCCCAGATTTCACGGCGCCTCTTCTTATTTCATTACGTCCCTGGCCCCCCCGCTGGGCCGCGCACATGCCGCCGGTCATGATTTGCACCCCCCCCTCTTGGACATCCCCCTCTTTGCCGCTCCCGAGAAGAGGAGAAGGCAAGGAAGAGGATGAGAGCCCAGGCCTCCCAAGTCGGGTGCGAGTCGATGTGGTCGGAGGATCGCGCCACATCGCCGATGCATCGCCGATGCGGCTCGATGTGGGGCCCGATGTTCTCCACGCCGGCGTCGCCGGTGCACTGGCGATGCGGCGCGATCCTCCGACCCCGCCTACTCGGACCCCATGTGGGAGTCCTCTGAGGAGAAGGATGAAGGAGAGGATGGGGCGAGAGGAAACATGAAGGAGAGGGACGAGGAGCGGCAGGCAGGGACGATGAGGATCAGGGCCTAAGGTGAGGCTGGGTACAGAACGGACGATGATGAGGAGGAGCAGGAGGGGATGTGCGGCACGCGAGGCCATCGACGAAGGCAAGGTGAAGAGGAGAAGCAGCGAGAGGAGGAGATACCAGCAGCAGGCGAGGCCTGCGCCCCGAGAGGCCCTAACGTTGCTGGTTTGTGTGCTCCGGCCAGCTCTGGAGCGGAGGCTCATTTTCTTGGAAGCAGCGCACAGCGCAGGAGCCTCCGTTCCCACGAGCAGGCCCCATGCCAGATGCCAGCTTGGCCTTCCTCGGTGACGCGCTGGCCCCACCCCCCACCCACACGCGGCGGGCGGCGCTAAACGGAGCCCCTCGCCACCCTTCTCCCCCCCCACACCCCACTCAAACGGGGGGTGGGGGTCCAGACCGGCGCTGGATCGAACCCCTCACCGCCCTCGCCCAATCGAACCTCTCGTCGCCCTCGCCCTCCTACCCGCGATCGGCCCTCCTCCGCAGCCATCTTTGGGGGGGGGCGCCATGCCTATGGCAGGAGGATGGGGCCCCTATGCCTTGAGTAATATGATTTCTCTTTGCGAGAGAGAGAGAGAGAGAGAGAGAGAGAGAGAAAGAGAGAAATATAAAAAAAACGATTTCGGGGCAACGTGACGAAGACGATGGAGGGCATAAAAGCCAGGCTTGACATGTTCGGCCCTCATGTCTGGGTTGCGGTGCCCATCGGTAGCATGCTGGCCGATCTGATCTCAAGATTGGTCTGGGCTTCCTCAACTCGGCATCGCTCGGACGTGTGCAGTTTTCCTTCGGCGAGGACCATCGAGGAGCATTGTGGATCATCTTGCCAAAGACACGCGCACAACATTGGCAAATGCACGGGAACGGACATCCGAGCGATGGCGAGTACGGGTTTTCCTGTCCAAGCGAGGAGGGCGTGCACACCGACCCTCGGCCCAGAAAGGGGCCTGGCCAGGATCGGCGTGGGTGTATAGTTGGCCTTTCCTTCGATGGGGGTGGGGCGAGGGCGGTGGCTGGCTGAGAAGGCCGGGTGCCTCTCAGACGGCATCGGCTCGGCATCGCCCGCACGTGCGCGATTTCCTCTCGGCGAGGACCACCGCGGAGCATCCCGGACCATCCGGCAGGACGGCACGCGCGAAGCCGACAGAACATGCACGGGGAACTGACGCCCGAGCGGCGGCAGGTCAGAAGAGGCAGGAGGGCTTCCGAGAGGCCCCCCTGCTTGTTCCTCTCCCCGGCCCGCGGCGTGCGCCGCCGGGGCCCGGCCCTCGAGGATCGAAGGCCGAGCGTCGCGGGTTTGGCGTCTGCTTGTAAGTCGGGCCTGTCCCTCTGCAGGAGGGAGATTCACAATTAGTCCAGAGAAGCAGTCAGGGGGAAGATCTTTGACCATTTTTGAATCTTTGAGGGTATTTGTCTGACATGTCTTTTTGTTTTTCGACCAAGATCCCCCCGTAGGGGGACACGCCCGACTTAGGTCTATTTGCTTTTGTGGACCGTCGTGGACACTCGGTGGCCACTACGGGGGAATCATCCGAACATCCTGGCAATCTATCGCTGCAGGCTCGGTGTTATCCTGGGGCGCACAAAATTCCAGGAGCCCATGGAGGAGCTGAGGGTCCTGGATGCACGGAGCACGGAGGCGAATGAGAGGCCAATGCTCTCGAACGTGCAGGGACTGGAAGCAGTGGCAGGCACGCGAGTTCGGATGCGCCGAGGAAGAGCATTACAGCGAAGCGGTATGGTTTGACAGCACCCTGAAGAACCTCACAGCGAAACCGTGTTGCACAACAGAGAAGAGCGTGTGCACAAACATTCCGCAGGTCCGCACGAGTTTCTCGGGTCGGCGTTGGACGCCCCCTCTCCCCGCACCCCCTGGCGGTGCACCCGGGGGCAAGGGGACGTGGGGAGAGGGAGCCCAGCGCCGACCAGACAGCTCGGCGTGGGCCTCCGAGAGCTCGTGTCTGCGTTTTTTTTGGTCCCACATCCTGTTCGGTGGCACAACGTTGTACTTCGGCTCAGCGATGCTCCCTAACTTCCCTGGTCGTCGCCTCTTGGATACAAGGCGAGTCCTCTCCTGCCGCCACTTGAGGCTGGTGTACCACGCGCCGTTGACGGCACCACCAACCACAGCATTTTGCTTCTTCTGGTACTTCGCCGCCGGGTTCCTGTCCAAGGCGTTCCTTGCAAACACATCGTCTGCGGCACCGCCTGATTCCGGGGCTGTGCTGTCTGGGCCCCCTCTGGGGGGAGGGGCCCAAGGGGCAGAGCCTGGGACCAGGAGGGCGCTGGAGAGGGGGGAGGGGCGGCGAGGGGTGGAGGAGCAAGGAGAGGAGGCGCAGGACCAGGAGCGGGGGGAGGAGGAGGGGGCAGGATGACGATGGTGGCAAAAGGGGGCACGACAGGGACGGAGGAGGGGAGAGGGAGTAGGGTGGAAGGAGGAGGACGAGGGGAAAGATGATGCAGCCGGGTCGGCCCCCGCCTGGGCTCCCTCGTGCTGTCTGTCGGCCGGGCCGAGGGGAGATGTACGGCAGGTCCGCGTCGCGTGGACGTGGCGGCGACACCGCCGTGGGCGTTTGAGGTGGAACGCCGGCGGCCCAGGATCGGCGAATGTGGAGGGATCTGGCGATGGAAGAGCCGCCGATCGTTCACGGTTGAACGATCCGCCCGGTGTCAGAACCCAGCACCCGGGTCCTCAAGCCACGAGCTTGCCGCAGCTTCTCGGCGGCGAGCTCGCCTGGCACGAGCCCTTCTCTCTCTCGAGAGCGAGCGGCGCTGCCCGGCGGCACCAGCGACGCTCGTCGCACGGGCCTCCCAGCGGGCGTGGTGCTTCAGGAGGGAGAAAAAAACACAGACACAATTCATCGTCGACCCCCAGGAAAATATAGGAACATATGGGAAGTGGGGGGGAAGACAAAAACACTGAAAATATGGGAAAATATGGGGAACCTTTTTATCTCTGTGTGTATTTATTTGTGTGTCCCAGGGCCCTTTCAGTGCTGGCAGCTTTTGCACCTCGAGAGGGCCCCCCCTCCCCGCGCCCAAAGCGGCCGCCGCCGAGCCGGGCGCGATGGCCCCAGCGCTGCGGTCCAGCGCCCGCCCAGGCGCCGCCCCCCTCTGCTCTTGGCATCGCTCGGACGTGTGCATGTTTTTTTTCCGGCGAGAACCATCGAAGAGCATCCTTGATCGTTTGGCGAAAAAACCGCGCACGAAACCGGACAAAATTATAGGGAATGGCCACTGCGCTCCCTCGGCGCTCCTGGCCGCGGTGCGGAGGTCCACGGTCCTGCCCCGCGCCGCGGCCCCCTCCGGATGCCAGACGCGTCCGCGTCGACCATTTTTTTGTTTCTGTTTTGTTTTTTGTTTGTTTTTTTGTTTTGGTTTTTGTTTTTTTCTTGTTTTTTGTTGTTCATTGGTTTTTCCGTGTTTGCCCACGGGTGTGTGGTCGTTTTCCCTTTCCCCCACGCGCACTGTGTTCAATCCCCTTGCAAGGTGCAGCTGCGTGTGTCGTTCCCCCTCTATCGCGCTTGCTCCGTCTGGCCGCCCTGCTCATCCATTCGCCGCTTATTTCCCCCCTCTCGCTGGCTCCTGGTTTTTCCCCCCGCTGCGCCGGAACTCGGAGCTTCTGCAGAATCGTCTCGAGCTTGGCCCCAGGCGACGGCACTCTGTTCCATTCACGAGTGGCGCTCCTCCTCCTCCTTCTCCTCCCGGTCGCGGCGAAAGAGCCGTGGCCCAAAGCATGCAGAGTGCATTTATCAGACAGGTTGAGCTCGATTGGGTAAGACAGACAGACAGACTCCCTGTCGCCAGAAACCTCCAGAGGTTTGAGAGGCTCCCAGGCACCCCCGTGCGCCTTCTGGAGGCCTCCAGATGTCCAGTCACAAGCACTCCTGAAAACCTATCGATTCTCGGCCCTAGATCCTCGATCCTCGATCTCCTCGATCTCGACCTCCCCAGAAGCATTCAGAAACCTCCAGATTCTGAAGGTTTCCGCGGTCCCTGTAGAGGTACCTAGCTTCCAGAGGCCCAAAGAAGGACACAAGCACGTTCAAAGCGTCTCGATCCTCTGTCCTGGATCCTCGGTCCTGGATCCTCGGTCTCGATCCTCATCAATCTCCCTGATCCGCGTCGCTCTCCTTAATTTCCCCGATCTCCTCGGTCCTTCTCGATTCCTTTGATCCTAAATCTCCCCGATCGTCGATCGTGGACCCCCCATCCTCGAGGCTAGATTCTTCATCCTCGATCTCGAATCCCTTTTCGTCCGACGTCGCATTTTTCTTGTTTGAAGTGATGCTGCTGCTTTACATTGTCGTCGCATGCCGCGCAGGACAGGGATGATGATGATGGTGATGATGATGATGGTGATGATGATGATGATGATGATGATGATGACGATGGCGATAATAATGCTGATGATGATAATGATCATGTCGCTGCTGATGATGCTGCTGCTGATGATGACGATGATGGTGATGGTGATTGTGATGGTGATGGTGATGGTTGTGGTGGTGTCATGCTGCTGGTGATGGTAGTGGTGTTGATGATCGATATGCTGATGGTGATTGTGATGCTGCTGATGATGCTGTTGTCGTCGTCGTCGATGATGGTGATAATGATGACGACGACGTTGATCATGACGGTGTTGGTGGTGCTGGTGATGATGATGGTGGTGGTGCTGATGATTATGATGATCATGTTGGTGGTGGCGGTGGTGTTCGTGATGGTCGTGGTGGTGTTAATGATGATGATGATAATGGTGATGGTGATGATAATGGTGATGGTGATGATGATGATGATGATGGTGGTGGTGGTGGTGATAATGAGGAGGGTGATGGCGGTGGTGGTGGTGGTGGTGATGATGATGATGGTGGTGGTGGCGGTGGTGTTTGTGGTGGTCGTGGTGGTGGTAATGATGATGATGATGATGATGATGATGATGGTGGTGGTGGTGGTGGTGGTGATGTTGTTGATGATGACGGTGGTGGTGGCGATGATGATCTTGTTGATGATTGCGATGTAGATGATGATGAGGGTGATGGTGGTGATGGTGATGTCGCCGTTGATGTTGTTGTTGATGATGATGACCACGATGCTGATGACGATGCTGCTGTTGATGATGCTGCTGATGATGATCATGATGATGCTGATGATGCTGCTGATGATGATGATGATCACGTTGATGATTATGATGATGCTGATGATGATGCTGATGATGATGATGATCACAATGATGATGACTATGATGATGATAATGAGGATGATGATGATGCTGATTATGATGATGATGCTGCTGATGATGACGAAGATGGGAATAATGATGCTGCTGCTGATGATAATGATGATGCTGCTGATGATGATAATCACGATGATGATTATGATGATGATGCTGATGATGATGCTGATGAGGATGCTGGTGATGATGCTGATGATGATGGTCACACTGATGATGATGATACTTATGATGATGCTGATCATGATGATGGTTATGACGCTGATGGCGGTGGTTATGATGACGATGATGCTGCTGCTGTTGATGATGATGATGATGATGATGATGGTGATGCTGATTGTGATGATGATTGTGTTGATGACGAGGGTGACGAGGAGGAGGATTAACAGGATGCTGATGGTGATGCTGATGATGCCGATGATGAGGATGATGATGACGACGTTGATGATGATAGTGCTGCTGATGATGATGGTGGTGACAATGCTGATGACGATGATCATGATGATGCTGATTGTGATGATGATGAGGAGGACGAGGAGGAGGAGGAGTAGCGGGATGGCGATGCTGCTTTTGATGATGATTGTGTTGATGACGATGGTGATGATGATGATGATGATGATGATGATAATAATGATTGTGATTCTGATGACGATGACGATTCGGATCAAGATGATGACGATGATGGTGATGATGATGATGAAGATGGTGGTGATGGTGGTGGTACGGATGATGGTGGTGGTAATCATGATGGTGATGCTGATGATGGTGGTGGTGACGATAATGGTTCTGTTGTTGGTGGTGGGTATGATGGTGGTGGTGATGTTGCTGATGATGATGCTGATGATGATGTTTGTGGTGATGATGATGATGGTGGCGGTAGTGGTGGGGTTGATGACCATGGTGGTGGTGGTGTTGATGATGGTGGTGGTGATGACGATGATTGTGATGGCGGTGGCGATGCTGATAGTTTGTAAGAGTGATGATACTGGTGATGATGATGATGATGATGATGCTGATGATGGTGGTGGTAAGGATAATGAGGAGGGTGATGACGGTGGTAGTGGTGGTGGTGATGATGATGATGGTGGTGGTGGGGGCGGTGGTGTGCGTGGTGGTCGTGGTGGTGTTAATGATGACGATGATTATGATGTTGATGATGGTGGTGGTGGTGGTGGTGCTGTTGTTGTTGATGATGATGGCGGTGGTGGTGCTGGTGATGATGATCTTGTTAATGATTGTGGTGCAGATGATCATGATGATGGTGGTGCTGGTGATGGTGATGTCGCCGTTGATGATGCTGATGATGGTAATCACGATGATGCTGCTGTTGATGATGATGATGTTACTGACGATGCTGCTGATGATGCTGATGATAATGCTGACGATGAGGATGATGCTGATGATGATGATGATCACGATGACAATGATGCTGATGATGATTAATGTTTCTGAGAATGGTAATGATGATGGTGATGATGATGATGGTGGTGGTGGTGGTTGTGGTTGTGATAGTGATGATGCTGCCGATGATGATGACGACGATGACGACGATGATGATGATGCTGATGCTGATGCTCATGAAATTGATGATGCTGATTCTGACGATGATGATAAGGATGATGATGATGATGATGATGATGATGGTGGTGATGGTAATGATGATGGTGATGATACTGATGATGAGGATGAGGATGATGATGCTGCTGATGCTGATGTTGATGACCATGATAATGATGATGCGGATGAGGATGAGCATGTTGATGATGATGAGGATGGTGATGATGATCAGAATGAGGCTGAGGTTTTTGATGATGATGGTGACGATGATGCCGATGATGATGATGATAAGGATGATGATGATGATGATGATGATGATGATGATGATGATGATGACGATGACGACGATGATGATGAGGATGATGCTGATGATGCTTATGATGATTATGAGGATGATGCTGCTGATGATGATAAGGATGATGATGGTGATGATGATGGTAATGATGATGATTCTACTGATGATGATGATGATGATGATGACGATGTCGACGATGATGATGATGATGATGATGATGATGATGATGATGACGATGGTGATGATATGGATGATGAGGATCAGGATGAGGATGTTGACGATCATGATGATGCTGATCCTGCTGATGATGATGATGATTATGATAAGGATGATGATGACGACGATGATGGTGATGATGATTGTGATGATGATGCTGATGATGATGACGATGTCGACGATGATGATGATGATGATGATGATGATGATGATGAGGCGGATGATGATGATGATGATGATGATGATGATGGTGGTGGTGGTGATGATGGTGATGATAACGATGATGATGATTAGGATGAGGACGTCGATGATGATGAGGACGACGATGATGATGATGGTGATGTTGATGACGATGATGACGATGATGATTATGATGATGACGCTGCTGATGACGATGCTGATGAAGATGATGATGATGATAAGAATGATGATGCTGTTGATAATGATGATGATGATGATGATGATGATGATGATGATGGTGATGGTGATGATGATGGTGATGCTGATGCTGATGCTGATGATGATCATGATAACGATGTCGACGATGATGTAAACAATGATGATGATACTGATGATGATGGTGATGATAATGATGATGAGGATGAGGATGTCGATGATAATGAGGATGATGATGATGATGATGGTGATGGTTATGCTGATGGTGATGATAATGGGGATGCTGATGATGATGCTGATGCTGATGATGATGCTTAATGATGATGCTGATGACGCTTATGATGGTGATGATGATGCTGATGATGATGACGATGATGATGCTGATGGTGCTGATGCTGATGTTGATGATGCTGATGATGCTGCTTCTGATGTTGATGACGACTATGATGATGCTGATGCTGATGCTGATGCTGATGCTGATGCTGATGATGATGATGATGATGATGATGATGATGATGATGATGATCACGATCTTTCTCGCGCCAGGCGCGGCGGCCCGCGGAACACGCCCCCGACGCCACCCGTGCCTGGCCGCGGGGGCGCTGGTCACGGCCCTCCTGTGCGCAAGGTCACAGTGGCAGGCCACCCTCCGGCGCCTTCCTCGGCACCTTCTCCCCAGAGCGGCAGCGGGGGAGATTAGAGGAGGAGGAGGAGGAGGAGGAGGAGGAGGAGGAGGAGGAGGAGGAGGAGGAGGAGGAGGACGAGGAGGAGGCAGAGGAGGAGGAGGAGGAGGAGGAAGAAGAGGAGGAGGAGGAAGAGGAGGAGGAGGCAGAGGAGGAGGAGGAGTGAGGGCAAGAAAGAGGAGGAGGAGGAGGCGGAGGAGGAGGCCGAAGGAGGGAGAGAGAGAGAGAGAGAGACAGGGAGGACAATGAAAAGGAGGAGGAGGAGGCGGAAGGAGGTAGTGGTGGTGCAACGGTGGCATGGTCGTCAGCGCGTGCTCACAACTCTGCAAACTTGCGGGAAAACACGGCCAGGAGAAAATGATTGCCCTGGGTGCAATCACACAAGTTGAATTCTAAACTTCAGGCCACAATATGAAAGCGAAGGACCAGGGGGCACGGCGCTCATGGCGCAATGCTCTGGAAGCTTCGCGATTCTTCTGAATCCGAGCCTTTTGCTCGTCTGTGAGCTCCACAGGTGGTGGCGTTGGAGGAGGAGGAGGAGGAGAGGACGAAGGGAGACATGCAAGGCCCTCCCCGGCCTCCTCGGGCTCGAAGGGCCCGTGCATGTCGTCAGCCGCCGCCGCTTCGGCGTCCCAAGCCTCGACCTCCGCACTGTCGGCCGCCTCCTTGTCGCCCTCGTCTGGGACGGGCGGCGGCACACGCACGGGGGAGGAGGGGGGCGACGGCAGCAGCACGAGCGGCCACAGCGAGGGCAGGAGCGACAGGCGACGACGGCACAGAACGAGAGGAGGACTGCAAGTATTGCCATCTGCTCAATCCGGGGTCACCCTTGTCCCTCTTCTTGCTTCTCGCGAAATCGGGTGCCTGAGCGAACTCCATGTCCGGGCCCAGCCTGGCGTATAGTTCTTGGAGCCCTTGAGAGGCCTCCTCTGCATCACAAGACATTGGCAGGCTGTCGTCAGCAATAGTCTGCCGAGATTCCGACATGGCTCTGGCCAGATCTGCAGACATGCGGGTTGGTTACGTTCTCTTGGCACTTCTTTTGAAACAGAGCTGGTCGGCTGTTTCGCCCGCGAGCGTCATGTGTGTCCCTCGACCGTGACTGCATTTGCCATTGTCCCCTTGCTCGCATGTGTGTGTGTGTCTGTGTATGTAGAGTGGGGGCATCCTGATGGTAATTCATCGTCTCGGCGCAGGTCCTACTTCAGAGGCTGGCTGGCCCTGGAACAGAATATGCACTGGTCGAAATCGGTGGTGGACGAGATGGGTGATGATGCTCGTGCTCTGAGCGGGCCCCACATGAAAGACGTGGGCGCTTGCTGTCGCAATACTGCGGGCTGTAGATGTTCCATCCATCCATTTCTCCCTGCTGCAAGGTGGTCTCCTAGCAACTGCACAAGCGCAAACAAGAGCTGATTACCTGTCTCCAGTTGATCGTTCTGTCTTGTCATAGCCCACGGCGCACCCCATTTGCATTCGTTCGTGCGTAGTGTGGGGGGCTCCCTTTCCAACTACCGCGCTGCACACCATGTTTCACATGCCCCCCCCAGTGTTCCATACCATGTGTACCCTGATGTGTCCCCTCCATTCGTTATTCGTTCATGGTTTGCCTCCTTGTGAGGTCCCCTTTTTCTGCTTTCGTATGGATATGTCTATTAAGAGCATCATGATTTGGTAGTCAGGAAGGATAGCCTCGGCCTCGATGTGGGACTGTACGTTTCCTGTCCTCTGCATGCCAGAAAAAAAAGGCAGATAATAACAATCTCCGCTCTGTGTATACGCACTGGTATATCATCCTTGGCCGTGTCCTGGAAGTCCTGGGGTCGGTAAATTTAGTATCTGTCTTGGTGCACGTTGTCTCCTACTCTGCCTTCGTGATCGCCTGAGCCGCTGTTGGTGGCTGCAGGGATATATTGATACAGGATCTTCCTGGCCTCGTCGGTGAGCTCTCAAAGGGAGTCCCTGAGTGTTACGAAACCCAATTGGAGTCCCATGTGAGGCCCTCAGAGGGTACACGTGTGGTGGCTGGGAAAGCTGATCTCCATCGTCCTAGTCCAGCTCGTCTTTGAGCTAGCATCTCCGCTACGTCCTCTTGGGCCCATGCCCCTGCGACGGCGGCTGGAGCTTCCGATCCGTTCAGAGCATACGCCAAGCAGCACCGTGCAGAGTTGAATGCGAGATGATCTCTGGCCTGCCCTCTCTGCGAGAAAGAAGTGGCGCACGCTCTGCATGCGGCAGACGGCCCCATGACAAGCTCAACGTGCTTGACGAATGCAGGATGCTGCTGAACAATGTGCTGCTGCAGGGCGGGCCTCTTGAGGAGTCTCTTGTGGCACCAGGGGCACTCCAAGCTGCTCCTATCCTCTTGCTCTGCGTGTCGCAAAGGATGCTCTGGATGTGTGATGGGCAATGGTACTCCGCATGGCCTGATGCTGTCCAAACAATCAGCCTCCGCTGCTGCTGCGATAGAAAGGTGCCTAAAAGCAGAAGCGGGGTTGTCCTGCGCACGCCGGAGTAGTTGCCTCCATGATTGCAATGACCTGCAGACAAGGGCTCCCCAAGGACCAGCCTCGATATTGGGATCTGGGAGATCTTCTAGCTCGTTGATGACATGTTTTAGCCAGCCTAGGTTATTGAAGACTTCTTTTAGCCATGAGGTGGCGGAGGAGTGGTATGCCGTGGCCATTAGGCCTTTGAGTACCTCCGAGCCGCGGTGGAGGATCCTTCCGAAGGCACGGAACCTGTGAACCCTCAGTTGTGTCTGCACATCTGCTCGTCGTGCAGCTGCTAGAACCAGTGAGTCACTCACTGCATTGCAATCATATTTGGCCATGCGCGCTGCTGAACATACTTGGTGATAGTACTGCGGCGTAGGGAGCGCTCGCGCGCCTCCGTCATGCCATGCCACGTGCCAGCGTGAAATAGCTCTGAGAATGTGATGAGCGAGTCCAGGAACTGCTACTTTATTTTTACATCTGGAGCGTGCCCGCCCATGGAGGGGAAAACTTTACGTCGTAGTTGGTGCCATGATGAAGCACATGCTCGATGTCTGTGGGCCAGCCCTGGGCCCAGTGAGGTCCTCTCGTCCAGGATGGTGCCGAGGTGGGGGTACTGGCGGACTGCGTGTAGCTGCGTGTGACCTAGTACTTGTGTATCCGCCCCAATAACACCCCCATAGCCTTCCAGAGTCGTATCTATGCTTTGGCTGACCCTTGCCCTCGGATTTGAAAAACACATGCCGGCTTTCCTTTCTTCATGTTGAGCTGGAATCCGCCTTCCGTGAAAGCTGTGGCTACTGTGCTGATCACGTCTGACACGATGTTCAAAAGCTGCTGTGCCTTGCCGGGAATGACGAAAGCGCCGTCATCAAAGAAGCGCATGTCGATGGCCTGAACAGCCTTGTCACTGCCTGCCGCGAGCGTGGCAGTGAGCGATATGTCACCTGCTGTGGGGACTTCCAGGGGATACCCTTTGGCCGTGAGTTGTGCGACTGTCGCATTGACACACTCAGCCATCACAAAGTTGAACACCACATCTCCCTGCTGTTGCTGGCACTGAACCTAGCATAGGGGATCCTATGTTTGAGGCCCCTGCATAGTAGAGCCAGGAAGCATGATATACTGTAGTTGTGAGGGCATGTACATGTCGGCAGACCCTGCACGTGTCAATGATTGTGTGGATTGTGCTAGCTTGGCCTGTATGGTGTGCATGGTGGCGGGTGGTAGGCGAGCAGCCTTGAGTATCACGGCCAGGTCCTCTACTGTGTGTGAGGATGCCATTACCAACTGTCGTATGGCTTTGTGGAAGGCTTGGACTGCGTCGATCATGAGAAACATTGCTGAAAGCTTCTTGCCGGCCGCGATGGTCTGGAAACTCCTCATGGCAACTCCCGCTAAGTCGACCCCCCTCCCCGTGATGCCTCCGTATGTGTTGTCTCCCGCTGTGAGGGGTAGGGCAAGAGCGAGGGGAGTACGGAGTAGGGCACGGTATCGTTTGCCTAGGTGGGGAGAGACCATGATCGATCTGGAGTGGAGTGGGCATGATGGATCTGCTGAGCCCTTCCATATGTCCCAATAGCACCCTCCCTTCCACTGCATGGGCTCATCGAGCCTCGTGACGGCCTTGAACATTATGGGATAATATAATGCACCGAGCTCCACTCCGAATCTGTGTAACATGCTGCCTGATATGCCGTCGAGGCTGGCAGCCGATGGTTTGGCACGTACACGGCTGCTCTGAAATGCGTGCAGCGCGGGCAAGAAGGCACCATGTGCCGGAATGTCGTGTGTGAGATCTTGCGGCAGCTGTGCGAAGTCATCTTGCACTGTGTCGGCCTCTTCGATTGCCACGATGGTGCTCAATTCCTCATGTCCGAAGTGTGCGAGCCATATGTTGGCCGCTTCTGCTGCTGTCGCTGCTGGACGTCCCGTCGGATATCTCACAATGGTGATCGGTCGGGTCGATTCTTTTTTCCTCCAGCACGCTCCCAATCCCTTGAGTCGTTTGAAGACCATGCTGTGTTGGTGTTTGGTCCACTCTGACGTGAGTAGCGTAGCTCGGTGATCGTAAGGCTGCTGTGCGTCCAACCTAGCACATGTTTTGATGTAGTAGCTGGTGTGAGCTAGTAGTAGTAGTTCTCGTACCGCGTGGGATGCACACTTTAGCTTTTGTACGCTTCTGTATGCCTGCTGCACGTACTGCTGCCTCGCAGTCCCTTGCTGTAGGATGTGTATGTCTGTGTCCAACACATCAATGTACGGGGCCTCTTGGAGGGCTCTGGAGCGCCAGTTGGGGTACGTGAAGTTAGCCGTAAGCTCCTCATGTTCTTTTTTCCTCTGTTGGATGGCTTCCCTCGTGCACGTCATACACTTCACAATGTGTGTCTGTACCTCCGTCACGTGTCCGTGTAGTTTGTGTATGGACCTGTGTACTGCTTGTATATGTAGCGGAGGATCGCC